TCATCCGTCTGTTTTTACTCATATGAATACTTGCTGTTTATATAAGTTTCTTTTTGCACATTTTTCAAAAATACTGGCAACTGGAATATTCTGCAAAAGGTAAAACATACTGTTAAACTTAGAGTGGGCGCTTCACAACTATTCGTAGTTCAAATTGTAGAACATGAATACATTGCCCACACAGAAGGCGGAAGTCACAATCAGGTTTTATGTATGTATTTAATATATAATCGAAATTGCTACTTTTCATTATAAATTGATAATATCGTCAGTAAAACAATCTCCACTTCACCTGGTTTTAAAAATGGGAGACCAAAAATATTTTTAAAAATACTGATATCTGAATTATTTTGTATTTTGACTTAACCAATGTTTAAATGCCCACCAACTTGACCTAATGAAACTCCGCATCCTTCATTTGAACTGACGGCCATACGATTAACAAAGATGAATGGATTGCTTTTTCAAAATCGGCAAATATTATTTTAGTGAAAACTTATATTATTTTTAGAAATTCAGATTTTAAATGTGAAAATGCTTTTATATAAGTATCAATATTTTTATTAGGAAGTAAAAATAGTGGTATATACTATTATTTTTAAGCCATGACCGTAAAATAAAAGGTTTTAGTAACTTAAGTTCCATCCACAAAATTGTATCAACTTCACTTAAAAATTTAAATTAGTAATTGTTGAAAAATGATTATATTACTTTCGTTGTCATTACTAATACAAAATTTTCATTTCTGTTAATTAGATATTTTCATTCAATAAAACATTAAAATCAGGTAAATCTGGTTCAAAGTTTTGTCTGTAGATGACCGAGCGTGGTGTATATTATTACGAATTACAAGAACTATGTCGTCAGTGTTGAATGCCCTTTGATAGCCCCGAATACCAAGTTTTGATGGTTTATCATAAAGTTCTTTCTACAGCCTTCGCTTTAAATTATATTACTCAATTGTTGTCATTAAATACTTCAACAGAATTTTAAATGATTATGATTATTTGCACGTTCATAATCTTATTTACGGCTTAATTTAATGGCGATTTACATGTCTTTACAGCAGCTCCAGCGTTGAATATCATTTTAATGTTTATGGTAACGAATTTTATCCATCAATATTAAATAATGTTTTATTTTTCGCTTAAATCACCGAAGACATTTTATAGTAGTTTTTAGAGTTTAAATTTTATTTAATAAAGAATAAAGTAATAACAAACGTTTACACCAACGACACGATCGCAATCGAACTAAAATTATTATAGATTTTACAGTACGTTCAGTACAGTTTATAGTTTATGCAATCGTTTAAACGAAACCGACGCAATTCATATAGTTGATTAGATAATTTCGACGCAATTCGGTACACGCTTATCAAATTTTTATTTCGGGACGCAATTCGTGAGTAGCCATTAGAATAAATATGACTGCTTAGAGCTTAATAATACATTAACTTATACCAGGGTCTGATATACAGACTTCAAAGGGGTTTGTTACGACGATAATCAGTTCTAAGGTATAACAATCGTCAGGTAATAAGTTACCATTATATGACGCGTCAAAACGAGGCAAGAAAATCGTATCTTTATACAATTTGTTAAAGTGTTAAATATAGATTGGATACCGAAATCGGAAACTTTTTTCAGGAAATTTAATATACATACTGCAACTTCTACACTTTTACTTAACTTTGCACTTCTAACGTCACGCTGAAATATAATTTTTTAATCAGAATTTTCGTAAAGTTACCCCTAACCACCGATGATTAATATAATGTGTATAACATAGTGACCTTAGTAATACATTTTTTTTCATCATAATTTTCAATAAATAAATACATATTTATGTATTATTCAATGTTTTACCATGTAGTTGAGAAATTTTAATGTACTCCTTTTTTTTTTTACTTAATTTTTGTCATTTATTTTAAAATATATTTATATTTTATTATAAACACAATGTCTTAATATTATATTCATATAACTACTAACTAGGTACCTACAAATATCATCTGGTAGATATAAACAATGTTGTAACTCTTCTTGGTTATATAGATACTTCATCTAAGCTCTGACCTTCGGACTATCGCCGCTTGATCTGATCGCACGCCACTGGGCCAACAAAATAGTGAGTTTATCGGAATACTATATGTAATTAAACATTTTTAAAAGAATCTATACATTATTTTTTATAGATATTTTTGCCTACATTATTAACTAATTGTAATTTAAATCATACAACATTGTCTTGGTTGTCTTCTTTCTCGTAAATAAGCAATCGATCTCTTAGTTCTCGAACCTGTTCGTTTTTTTTGGTAATAATATTCTTCATGTTAATGTATGCGGCAGTATCATTAAACTTTCTGTCCAACTCCTTAAAAACATATCACAATTAGCATATTATAACTGAAAAACCTGCTTTTGACTATTTACAAACCACGTTTTGGTTGGATGATATTAATCATACCAAATTTATACAGCTTACCACTATAATAAACATTAGAAACTAATTTGATTTACTTACAATTAAATTAACCCGTTTTTAATAATTTTCACATTACTATGTATTATTATTTTTTTTTATTAATTTCTACTTAAAGTGTTATTATGTTAATGGTAAATTGACAGTAAAATCGAACTAATTAAAATAGTTAACAATCTAAACAATTTATACCTTCAACTAAACTTTCTTTATACATTTTATGTGTTTGCTTACCAAATTTGTTAATGTTAATTGTGATTTTGCCACCGCCAATTCATTTTCTAATTGATTTACTGTTGTTTTACATTCATCATGATTATTTGTATTATCCTAAATGTACATATTATACATTAAGTATGGTTGGTACAATATTCTATATTTCTATATTCTTTTCGTGATACATACGTCAATAATATTTTGAGTTTGTACTTCGATTTCAACTAAATTTTTTTGCGGATCTCCTTGCCTGTCTTCTTGTTTCATAAGTAATTTCAATTCTTCTTTTTCATTATTCAATTTATTACACTAAAATATGTTTGTTAACTTTAAATATTTTTAGTTTATTTTTATATTCTGTACGTAAAAAAAAATGTTTGTTACATTGTCTTCTAAAGTTTTTAAATCTGCTTCCAATTTAGAATTGTGGGTTTCTAGCTGATTTAATCTTTTGTGCAACACTTCAACAAAGTCACTTGATATGTGATCAAAAGTGTCTAAAAGCTTTTTTTTGTTTAATGTTCGATTCATTGTGTTATAATTAGTTTCTATTTTTTCCATCTCTTGTAATAATTCTCTATTTGCATAAAAAAAATAATAAAAACGAGTAAATAAGTAAAATATA